TTTTTAACTCTGTTCCTGAGCATTATAACCCCAATTTGCTATTGTGTGCTGCACATTTTACTGAGGACAGCTTTCACAACACGAGTGAGAAGTGCCGGATTCCCAAAAGCTTTTGTTGAAAGACAGAGCAGGGGGCATGGCAGTACTGAAACACCGTCTAAGCTGTTCGCCAATCACAACGCACTGGGAAAGCTAACCAATCACATCACATTTCGTTTTTCGGAAGGCGGACCTTCATCAAAGCCGGAACTAATTGAGCCGTTTGTGCCAGCCTGGGGAGAGAGGTATTTTAATAATGTAAATTATGTGAAAAAGAATGCGTTTTACGAACCACCAAGCATGAGAGCATGTTCTAGTACACCCCCAAAACAAAATCAAGACTTTGTAAAAGAGCATAATAGGACCCCTTTAAATTTCATTTTTTTTCTCTCTAAGGACCTGTTTACTGCTGCACCTAGGTAGTGAGTGAACTAGGTCAGTCTGATTCATGAACAAATCAGTCCAATCGATTTTGTGAACCGGATCATTTGGATCTCTTAGACTGATTTTGTGAACCAGATTAACCAATTCATTAGCAAATCGTTTGGATGGGTTTTGTGAACCAATCAGCCAATTCACTGAAAAGATCGGATTTAAAAAAAAAAGATCCTTTCACAAATCAGACAGACATGGCAGCTTTTCTCACAAATGTGCCAAGAAGAGCTAGGAATATTTTCAATGAATAATTGAAAATCATATGACTTCAAAAGACTTGGAAAACAGTGCACGTTAGATCACTTTATGATACCTTTATGGTTCTTTTTTGTCTTCGTTGAAGCTTGAAAGGTCCCCATTAATTTTACTTTCATGAAAGTTAAAAATTTCTAAATTTCTCAAGGTCATTAGATAACGTACTAACAATGAGCAATATATTTCTTAAAGCATTTATGAATCTTTGTTAAAGTTATCTAATAAAAATACAGTCACATCAAAGTGCATTAACTAATGTTAACATACAACGTCTGAAAATGAATCAGTGAATGTTGAAATTAACATTAACTCAGACTAATCAATTCTGTAGAAGAATTGTTCAATGTTAACTAATGTAGTTAATGTTAATAAATGGAACCTTGTTGCAAAGTGTTATTTTTAGGTGCACTGTCCCTCTTCAGATAGCATGAGTTTGTCATCTTCATTCATCTTCTGTCCTTTCTGACTCTCTCTCTCTGTCTTTTATTAATTTGTCCACTTCTCATCTAGAGTGTTGTATAATCATGCATTCAGTAATGGAAATAGCAAGGTTTAGTGCTGAGTGCTGGTATGGAGAGACTGTGATCAGTGCATAACCCTCAGGAGCTCTTGCCTACAGTCGGCCTACTGCTCTTACTCAGTGGCGGTATACATACCAGCCCATACATTCCTCCTTTGTCCACTTAAAGTATTTTCTGGTTGGATTGTCCTGTCCTTATCCGTCCCTGAAGCATGTTCACCGCACACTCATAGGCTGACGTCAATAGCGCCTCATTCAGCTGAGCTGCAATGCTAGGTTTCACTCCGGGTGACTCTACTGACTTCAACACTGACTGAAAACATCATGAATTTTCTCTCAGGCTCGAAAAGACTCACTGTCTGCAAAAACAGCTTCCACAGCAGACCAATCAAAAATCTATTATAAGGCTCACGCGGACCTCACCGAATCAATGACATCATCTGTAGCTGGGCGAAAAGGTGCCCGAAGACAGGAAGTTGAAGAGCAGCACGATTTGTGCTTGATGTCTTCATCTCCATGGAAACTGCACAAATCTATGAAAGAGTGAAAGAGAGAGTTAAAGAAAGAATGAAAGACATAGATGGCTGGGGAAAGGGGAAGGGGGCACTGGCACATTAAACGCAATGCATCTCATGTCTTCATATCCATTTCTCTTCATCCTTCTCAGGTATCCTTCTCTCGGACCCTCATTCTATATAGGAGCCCTTTGAAATGAGCAGAAACATGTGATTAATTATTTACATCAGAAATTCAATATATGTGGCTCAGTCTGCCTCGTTTCTTACTTTGGAACAATCTGCTTGAACAAATCGATACGTTCTAATACATTACACTTGCGTCATTATGATCAGTTGGTTATGTTTTATTGTATTGTACACATGCAATATATTGTGTTATTCGTCTTGTCTTTGTGACCCTCATTTGAATCTTTGAGATTGTAAGATGGCTAAATGTGTTGTTTAAATGTGTAGTGAATGTGATAATAGGAAAGGTAAGCAGTGCATATGCTATTAAAGGTGTCAGTTAGCTCCATGGTGTATTTAAAGCTAATGTGTTTGTGTGTGCTTTTGTGTGAAATGGTATTGGAGTTGTTCACAGTAGGAATCTATGAACTCTTAATTCATATCGTTTTTTCAAGCTGTAAGGATTGGATTGGTCCAAAGTGCACTGCTGAAAGACTAGAAATGAAGAAGAAGAAGAAACAACTACCATGATTTTGTCATACTGATTTTTTTTTTTCAAAAAGGCGCCAATATTCAATTCTGACTTCACTAGTTCAGTTTATTATTTGCATAACTGTAACCTTGAACTGTTGTGCAATGTTCACCTTATCATTAAGCTGCATCTTTCCCCACTACATATGTTTGTGTGTTCAGTGACCACTGGCCTGTAAGATAATAGTTAACATGTTGACTCCTTTAGCTCAAACTGTAGAGCATGACGCTAGCAACACCAAGGTCATGGGTTTGATTCCCTGGGAAAGCAAGAACTGATAAAATGTGTACCTTGAATGCAATGTAAGTCACTTCGGATAAAAATGTTTACCAAATGCCTAAATTGAAATGCAAAGCACCCTTAGATTTTATGATGGAAACCTAGGTGTCAAACCCATATTGAGGAAATTGAACAACATGGATATCCATAAATGCATTCCACTAAATAGGAATTCGGTCAGCTACTTATTCAAACATTAGTGAGCTTTAATTTGTAGCAAGCTTATTTTCAGTCTTTCTGAACACAATATCCCTCTCCAACACAATATTCGAAGGCCCCTCTCTAACTATAGGCTAAAACATTTCCAGTATATTAAATGAATGACACAATTTATTTTGTGATTCTAGAAGTTTCAAGAAATGTATAATGTATAAAGCAATAATTAGTGATGTTTAGTTATTATTGATCACTTATTGTTACAGTTCTCATAAAATCGTGTAGTGTATGACATGCACAGACTCATTCTATAAATGTCTTCATTAAAATTTCAATGTTGACATTCTGATTCAAATATCCTCTTGCTTTTTTAACAAATCACACCCTGACTGTTATTTGGGAGATATCAAAGAGTTATCAGTAAAGCTTTATAGTACCCTTGTCAAGACTCTAGTTTGGCCAAAAATGCTTCTTGCCAAAAGACACTGAAGCTAAAGACCATTAAAATCCAAATTGCGTCAAGAGCCAGTCTGCAGATAGCAAACACAAGCATCTCATTCTTAATGACTGTTTAAAAAAATAATGTGTCCTGCATTGGGTGAAGCCACATGTACAGGATGACTCAAACTTAACAGGAAAGTCCCGGGCTCTGAAATGAGAAAAGCACACTAAGTTCCTTAATGGTATATCCTACTCATTGCCCTGGGGGTGAGGGTGCTCACGTATTACAAAATTGTGATGACCTCTGTTTGACTCTTCTTCTTTTACTTACAGGTTTGTCTGATAACCCGACAGATCTGGAGAAGCGCAGGCAGGCATTTGGACAAAACTTCATACCCCCCAAAAAACCCAAGACCTTCCTTCAGCTGGTGTGGGAGGCATTACAAGACGTCACCCTCATCATCCTGGAGATTGCAGCCATCATCTCCCTCGGCCTGTCCTTCTATCAGCCACCCGGACACGAGAGTGAGGGTGAGAGAGAGAGAGAGGGAAGCTAGACAGGGATGTTAGAGGGATGAGGTATGTAGAGGAAGGGAGTTCCCCAACTGGGGAAGTCGTGGCCTAATGGTTAGAGAGTCGGACTCATAACCCAAAGGTTGCGGGTTCGAGACTCGTACCGGCAGGGATTGTAGGGGGGGGGAGGGATACCATGACTGAGGTGCCCTTGAGCAAGGCACCGAACCCCCAACTGCTCCCCGGGCGCCGCAGCAAAAATGGCTGCCCACTGCTCCGGGTGTGTGTGTTCACTGCTGTGTGTGTGCACTTTGGATGGGATAAATGCAGAGCACTAATTCCGAGTATCCACATGTCATGTCACTTAAAATCACTTAAAGGGATGGTGTGGGTTGAGGGAGGAGGGAATGACGGATAGAGAGTGGGAGGGAAGAGAGAGAGAACTGAATCAAGGGAGTGTGGGAGGAAAAAGGTGAGAATGAAGGTGAGAAAAGAGGATGTCAAGCAGGAATGCAGAGAAAGAGAAAACGAGTTTAGGGGTTCTCTGGAAAAATAAACAGTAAAACATGTATCTTTGTGGCAAAGAACTCTCAAAGTTTTATACAATCGCACATTGAGTTCTGCATAAGGCAAGGCAAAGCAAGGCAAGTTTATTTATATAGCACATTTCATACACAATGGTAATTCAAAGTGCTTTAT